GAGCAAGATGAGCATCGGGATCGCCACAACTACTCTGCAGATGGCCGCCACTACCACCTCGATGGCTGGCGCGAAGGTAAGCCCCTCGGTGGGAAGCACCGGAATGTTGACGAGTGTTGAGCAACACACCACTAGCAGCCTGGCGAAGACTACTGGGGAAGGTGAGATCTTACGATCCAAGTCGGGGAAGGACTATGTGAAGAAGAGGAAAAAAGGTCACGGGTGACATGTATGGCTATGGGGCTTATCTCGATCGAGGCAGGTAATCTACCATCTCTGTCTTCCTACAATCCCCGCGTTCCCGTTTGTTGAACCTATTGCTACTCCTTCGTGCACTCCGTTCTGCTCCGTCCTCATCACCCTGTTCCCCGACTCTCCTTTTCACGCGCAGCCTCCCTGCCTCATAGCACCCAGACCATTCACCAAACCCAAAAACTTGCGCGGCCAATCTGCTCAGAGCGCCTCAAAACCCCCATTTCACCTCTTTATTCGCTCGTTTTCGTTGGGAAACGGACAAGATACACCCATTTTCCTCCCCACTCTTCCTTTGTCTGCTTCTCTCGGCCCTTCCCCGCACTCGTTTTCTTCTCTACCTCCTACTCTATCCTGCTAACTGCCAACCTAACATCTGATTCGGGGTTGCCTACCCAAAAAACCTCTATCTCAATCCTCTCCCCACCCGATTCTCTCTAAGCATGGGCTAACTCACCTTCTTCCATCCCGCTTCTTCCCCATCGCCTTCGTCTTTGTCGTTTCTCGTACTCTCCGTTTAGCGCCCGCGTTTTCACTTAGCGCAGCTCATCACCACCTAGTCCGACAACAGCTCGACTTCGTTCATGCTTCATTGTCAGATTGGCCCACTCCGAGTCTCTCCTACGGCCTGTGCAAGCAGCTCATTGTGGCTGAATCCGGCCGTTACTCGCGCCAGGTTCATTCCACAAGGTGAGGGACGTAAACCAGCTACCTGACGGTTCGATTAGTCTGCCGCCCCTATACCCCAGTCCGACGGACGACCCGCACGTCAATATCGCCTTGAGCTGGGAGCTTCGAAGGGAACCAGCTTTCATCGGTTTGATTAGTCCGTCCCCCCCCTCTACCCAAGCACGCCGAACGATTTGCGCGCCAGTCATGCTGTGCGCTACTTCAGAGCACCCCACAGGCTGTGCCTTGCCCAAACACAGTTCACCATCTTTCGGTTCCCACGGGCATGCTCACACTCAACCCTCTCACGGCAGATCGTGGTTGGCGAACGACACGCTTGCAGGGGTTCTTGCTGCTCAGGTTTCATCTGTCTCGCGGGGCTGTGCACCCGCCGACTCTTACGCACATTGACCCCCTCGGTCCATGTTCAAGGTGGGTAGGACAGTGGAACTTCGTTAGCATCCCGGATATGCAGGAACCCGAACAGGCCCGCCAAAAGGAGGCGTGTGCTCAAGGTTCTCGATTGCCGTGACAGCCACCACGTGGGGTGGGGTTCTATTGCTCTCCATTGTAAAGCTGGTTGCAGCAGTCCATGTTGGCCTGCACCCTACTTACAGTCAAGGAGGGTGATGTCGCAGTCATCGTCCACCCCCGTTGACTGGGGATACGTGACTTCTCTCCATCTGCTTCTTCGCTCAGCAATTTCAAGCACTCCTTAACTTTCTTTCGAAGTTCTTTTCATCCTTCCTCGCGATACTTCTTCGCTGTCGGTCCTGGAACCATGTTGGCCTGCACCCTACTTACAGTCAAGGAGGGTGATGTCGCAGTCATCGTCCACCCCCGTTGACTGGGGATACATGACTTCTCTCCATCTGCTTCTTCGCTCAGCAATTTCAAGCACTCCTTAACTTTCTTTCGAAGGTCTTTTCATCCTTCCTCGCGATACTTCTTCGCTGTCGGTCCTGGAACCAGTTTCCTGCCTGGTCAAAGACGGGACCTTTAAAAATAGAGAAAAATAAAAGGAATAAATTTAAAATTTAAATCAATAAAAATAGGGAACTGAGGATGACTGGGACTCACCGGCACCCTCTTGGTCTCGCCAATCGGACCCAGGCCCGGGCCCGATCGGAAAAACAAGGGGGATAGTCCCACAAGACCCTCGACCCCTCAGCCTCCGCTGGTCGCGTTCCTTTGCTCCATTGCCACGTGCTGGCCTCGATCCCCAAACCTGTCACCTGAATGTCGCCTGAAAGTCTAGTGCCGTAACCAATAGAACTAAGCCCCAGGCTGAACTAAGTAGGCGCGAACCTCCATATGATTAGTTCGCGGGATCGTGATTGGTCCTACCTACACAAACCAGGTCTTCGCCTTTTGTCTACCAGCCAATTTCTTGTCGTCTGAGGACGTCGCCTGCGCCTAGGATCGTAGCTATCTGGTATCCTGGTCGTTGGGCGCACAACATATGTTGCCGAACTTCTGACTTTCCTCATGATAAATTTTGTCAAAGCTACGCTTTTTAATGCGCCGTCAACACAATATTCCCGCATGCGCGCAAGGTACTTTCTTTACTTTCTCTGCAACGCATCCTACCAGAAGGTGAGCCGGTTCACGAAGTGAGGTTAGTCTTTATAAAACAAAAAGAAAAATATAACCAAATTGAAAATTATTGCCAAGGTAACTGGACCCTATGGCCTTTGACACCTTCCGCCGCCCTGGCACTGCAGATGACTAAACGACCACCTCACAGTGAAATAATGCATGCCCCACTCACCCTCTAGTTCGTTTGCATTTTGGCTCGGACTTTTGCCAGTAGCGAGGTTGCCGAGGTGAGCGCCCTGACGGGATTTGACCTATCAGCACGTTTACGTTGATCAAGGACGTTCCCAGCGCGACCTTTGAAAAGGACGGGTGTTTGCTACGACAACGGGTTCTGGGCAGCCCCAGCGTAAAATTATTAATAATAAATTAATAATGAAATAAAAAAGTTCTGGGAAGAAAAAGGGTTGTGTAGAATTGCAACGCAACGACTTCTGGTTGAGGGTTGCATCAGAATCCCGCACAGAATTGAAGATAAAAAAGAATGTAACATAATCACAAGAAGCCACCTCCCTTTAGCCCCTTTAGAACCAATTTATACCCCCGTTGACAGCCAACACTCAGAAAACGAAAAGTGCCCAGATTTGGGCTCCTCTCGGTAGGTGCGGCAAAACCCCACCCCGCCTTCCCACACACACCTGGGTATCCTGGGCGTCAGACCCTCCCGCGCGTCATGCCAGGCACCCGGGCGTGACAATCTTCCTACCGTCTTCACCCGAATAGAACGCTTTGTCATTATAGCTGTATTTGGTGGAGCTTTCAGTCTAGATGCAGTGATAATGGCCGGGCGTTCTATTCGGGTGAAGACGGTAGGCTAATAGTTCTTACACTTAGGCGGTACACACACTGGAGGTGAAAGAAATGCAAATGCAAATGCAAATGCAAATGCCGATGGCACCATTCAGATGATAATCAGCGACTTCTCCTGATATTGGGCCTCGATCCAGTACTCAACATTCTGCATGCATTTAGACGCCTTTCTGGACCAAGTGCATTTGTAGGAGTCTAACATTTTGGATGTATCATGAGCTCCTGATTTATGCAGTGTTGTGTAGTGGAGTGAGGCCCATTACTTCGATTCAGGCTGTAATCACATCAGGATTTCTGGACCGATTTTGAAATAATCTGGAAATCCAGATGCTCTTCGCAACCACCATAAAAATTGGAATGATAGTTACAACACAGAGAAGCTTAGCATGGCCCCTGCGCAAGGATTTTGTGTGTGGGGGGAGAATCTGGAAATCCATACAGTGAAAGATTGCAGAGCATGGGCCTCGGTCCATAACTCACCAAACGTGCGAAATGAGAATCAATGTTCCGCGGGAACATGGAAAGATACACCCCCATATTTTTTGTCTTTTGCGCATGTGGTCAGTACTGGAGCGAGTCCCTATATCGATGGAAGTTATGGGACCAATGCACTGATGAGTTGGTCTACAGTGGAACCTTGCAGTAGGGCACATCCAGGGAAGCCCAACTCTCGCATTTGCCCTTATTATGTTGTGTTGTTGTACACTTCAGAGGGAGTCGGATAGGAAGGGGGGAATGCGGAAGGTGTGTTCAGATGAGAATCAGTTGCATTGGCTGCCATTATTTGGATTCAGGTCGCACTTGCATCAGAACTTTTGGAATGACCATGGCTGTAAGCATTTGGCAGATTCATGCAACGAGCAGTCGGAGGTAGAAGGTTTGTAGCTCGGATAACCGAGCTTGATGATGTAGTGATGCTGTGAAATTATAACCTGTAACTACATTATATTTGACTTCTCCCTCTCTTACACCTAGCATCCTAGCCATGGACTCCCTGGTGGTGCCCTCGGTCAGTCGAAACCTCCCCACAGTACCCTTCTTGACTAAAGACACCCCTTGGCCTATCCCATCTCAGGGTTGGAAGGTGAAGGCTGAAGACTGGTACTTCTCTGTCTCTTACACCTAGCACCCTAGCTATGGCCTAGGTGGTGCCCTTTGTCAGGGGAAACTTCCCCACGGTACTCTTCTTGACTAAAGACACCCCTTGGCCTATCCCATCTCATGGTTGGAAGGTGAAGGCTGTGCTCAAGACCGTACACGTTACCGACCTTTCTAACTATTCCAGACAATCCTGACCATCCAGACGTATTGCAGACAATCGAACCCTCCAGACACATTACAGACAATTTTTCATCCATCCGGTAGGTCCGTATCTGCACAACCTTCCATCTTGAAGTAACAATCTAAGCTCCCTATACCTAACCCCTCTAAATCCCCCGCTAGCCCATGCAGCGCATACCAAGCCCCACCTATGATCATTGGAACAACCCTTGTCCACTGATAGCTTGCAAAAGTGCGGCCGGTCCTTCATGCAAGTTCAAACTCGTCCTTGACCAATTCAACTTCCCGTGTATTCAGTGCGTTTTGCTGCCTGTGTTGTTATCATTATTGTTATTGCTGATGTTGTAACTGTTGTGATCTTGATCGTTGTTGTTGTTTTTCATGTCTGCTAGATTCGAACTGAGGATTCGGATTGGAGTCAACCCTTTGGTGTGGACATGGAGGGGTCTGTACATGTTAGGGTGCGAGCTATGGCAAATGGGAGGAGAGAAACGATCAGGGCTGATGTCATGAAAGGCTCCCTAAGGTCAAACATGGTGGTTGTCTTCAGGAGACCTACTGTCCAAGGACCATACAGGTAAGCAGGGAAGGGAGAAAGCTTCAAGAAAGTGATATGTTTGTGTCTCTTTAAGGTGTAATGTTTGTGTGCCTGCCTGCTTGAGGCATAAAGTATGGCTCGGAGGAACTGGCATCACATATATTGGCGAGAAAGAGGCACAAGAGAGATTGGCACACGCATGTGTGCGTGTATGTTTGAGGAATCTGTACTCCAAGGCGCGTGAGATACGATACATCCTTACTCGTACCCGCACAGCTCCGGCAAACCGTGTCGGCCCAACTTGAATAAGAGACAAAACAGGAGTGACGTTCCCCGCAGCAAAAGGCCGACAAAAAAGTTCATAGGCGCGGGACAGACGCATTCAGTGGTGGGAGGTAGGGAATTCTACACTGGACTCTACAAGCAGCATCTACTTTTCAACTGCAGTACCCGGATTCGACATACAGTGGAAGGTAGGGGTAGACTATGTCGAATGATGCAAGTAGCATTAATGCTTCAGACGCCATTTTCAGACAGACCAGAACACACACAATAACACCTCACAAACAAACGGAGGGATAGGGAGAAGGCAAGGACAGCGAGGCGAAGGGCAGGGAACCAACACCATAGGATGACAAATCACAACACCGCACATGAGCTTCGAGGCACGAGAGGAGGAACAAACAGTGAGGCAGCACATAGGCTGAAGCGCATGGGGGAGGCAGGAGGGCACATGTACAAGTATCGAAAAACAGTAAAGCAACCAGAAGAAAAGAAAACTGCAAAGGACAGGCTGGAGGGTAGAGGGGAGGAGGTTGGGCATACAAACAGCACAAGGCAATAAACAAAGACCGAAAACAATAAATTAAAAGCTGATGATGAAAGATTGTTTCGTCAGAGTTGCACCGACTCATCAGGAGGCAGAGAACCCTCGACAATCTGCGGCATCTCCGTATTTGATGGTTTTGGTCATGAACCCTTAGACCCTTGTTGATGGCAAACTGTCCCCAAACATAGCAGCGGCCAGCAACCCTGCGGAGCACCAGGCAACGCAGTAGAGGCAACACGGCTGCACAAGGCCACACAAACAAGGCAACCATACTGCATGGGACAACAGGGCGAGCGGACCAGCAGTTCGGCGACCGTGCAGTGAAGCGCTAGGCGATAGCAACAAGGCAACCAACCTACAAGGCACGTAAGCAACGAAAACACGGAAGGCACAACCAGCAGATGGGAAGCAAGGCAGTGGAGCAGCGGTGCAGTGAAGCACAAGGCAACACCACCAACACGGCCACACCACACAGCGAATCCATCAATTGCAGAGAACCACATGCAAAGCAAGTGCAACAGGCACCAAGGCAGCCGTCGTCAAGAAACCTTAGCTCTTCGGTGGATTCTTGAAGGCGCCTTGTGGAGACTACGTTTGACAAAAACAAAACACAAGTTGTTGATTTAGCAAATCAATGCCTTCAGCCACTTAGCCATACCTCCCGGGGAAAACGGGATTTGAACCTGCGACTTCTGGCGTGACCTGAAGTTCGACGGCCAAACTTGGACAGGATGGAACCACTTCCTTTTTCTTGCGGATAGAGCTAAACAGGCATTAGCTAAAATGGGTGATTTATCTACATTCTCGTTTATTAGAAAGAGCTGCCAAGAACAGGCACCAAGGCAGCCGTCGTCAAGAAACCTTAGCTCTTCGGTGGATTCTTGAAGGCGCCTTGTGGAGACTACGTTTGACAAAAGCAAAACACAAGTTGTTGATTTAGCAAATCAATGCCTTCAGCCACTTAGCCATACCTCCCGGCGAAAACGGGATTTGAACCTGCGACTTCTGGCGTGACCTGAAGTTCGACGGCCAAACTTGGACGGGATGGAACCACTTCCTTTTTCTTGTGGATCGAGCTAAACAGGCATTAGCTAAAATGGGTGTTTTATCTACATTCTCATTTATTAGAAAGAGCTGCCAAGATGTCCGACCAAGCTGGTACAGGTAGTCTGACTGCTTTGTCCACGAATGAATGTGCTTGTAGCTCAATTGGATAGAGCACCAAACTATGGATTTGGGGGTTGTGAGTTCGAGTCTTTCCAAGCATCCATCAAGAAAAAAAAAGATTTCATGATGTAGGATTGTCTGTAAGTCGTGTAGGTTCTGCAGGTCAATTGAAAGCTATGAAACAAGCGTGCGGAGCGCAAACGAGGCAGTTTACACATCCAACACGGAGCAAAGCGGCACATGACCTACTCACATCATGATGGAGCCCCGCAGACTGTTGGTTCCCACCACCCACTGAGCCAGGGAAACACGTCATCACCCACAGGCAACACAGACATCCTGAAGCAAGCAGCCCCCCTAAGAGTGCTGTAGACACTCCAGACAAGGAATGGCCGACTCTGTTTGGCACTACTTAAAGGTGCTCAGTTGGGCACACAAAAAGAGAGAAAATTGGAGGAAAGACAAACAGGGGGAAGACATACATAAAACTGATTGTGTGTGTGTGTGTGTGTGTGTGAGAGAGAGAGAGAGAGAGAGGTGGAAACACGTGTAGGTTATCCCCAGCATGGAGACGATGCACATACCATCGCAACACTTCCAGGAAAATATGCTTCTGAGTGAGTCAAGTCATTGGATAACCCGAGTAATACAAACAACGAAAGCAGAAGCAACAAGGGAAAAAGGCGCCAGGCAAAAAGAGGCAAGGCAAACTGCAGCTGATCAACCAGGCAAGCAGTACCGAAAGACAAGACAGCTAGGCCAGAATCAGTGAGGCAAAAAACAGAAAAACATAGGGCAGGGAGGCAATTCGTTGAACGACAAGCATCAGCGAGGCACATAGGCTGCAGGGCAGGCAGGAGCGCAGACAACACAAGCACACAAGGCAGGGAAGATGTAACAACCAAGAGGCAAGAAAAGTATGAGTAAGAAATCAAAAAGCAAATAGGTTGTTTCGTCGGACTTGCACCAATTCGTCAGGAGGCTGAACCGTCGATAATCTGCAGAATCCCGAAATTGATGCGTCGGGTCCCCGACCCTTTGAACCTGATTGAAAGCAGACTCCCGGCAGGCAACACGACAAGTGGAACATAGCACCAGGCAACGACTCGGCGAAGCACAAGACAACGCCACGGAGGCAACCCAACTGCACAACACCAAAGCTAACTGCATGGAACAGCAGCACAAGCGGACACACGCACACATGCGCGTGTGCGCCAGAGAGAGAGAAAGAGGGAGAGAGAGAGAGAGAGAGAGAGAGACATGCGCGCGCGCTCACATGGCTGTACACAGCCGCACACGGATGCACACAGACACGCACACACGAACAGAAACTCCTGATGTGTCTCACACACACACACACACACACACACACACACACACACACACACACACACACACACACACGCGCGCGCGCGCACATGGCCATACACTGACGCACACGGATGCACACAGACACGCACACACGAACAGAACTCCTAATGTGTTAGTGAAAGTCCAACGAAACAGTCTGGCACAGTCCTGCTTTTTGTTTTCTTTGGAGTGCATAGTGAACATCATGCTTTTCGTTTTCTTTGCAGTGTATAGCGAATATGACAACACAAACAACACACACAACATGTGTGCTACATTCCTATCATGCAATCCCACTCCACACCAGTTGGTGTGCGCATTTCACCGCTGATTAGCATTTTTGAAGCACTTTGTACACAGCCAGTAGCATTTGTAAGGATGAACAGGCATCAAGACACATCTGACACATGCTTTCTCGTATGCACTGTACCACACGAAATCCCATCAGAAAACGTGGCTGAACATATGTGATGGGGATTGAAAGTGCATATCCACCAGTACCGACATCGCAAATTATTTTTTTGCGGAGTGTCAAAATTTTGAATTTTCACCTTTGCGTCTTTTATATAAGCTTATAGTTTTTCGTGAATCATTATCCGATAAACTGTCCCCTTTACTCGTTTTTACCAACTTTACCTGCTCACACGTGTGTCTGATTCTTTGCAAGTCATTTTCCAATCGGTTTGTTTAACAACTTTAACTTTGTTAACTGTGCTTGCTTTTTCTACTTTTTTTTTGCCCCTATTACATTCAGCCGCTCGTTTGTCTAATTTTATGAATCGTAATCGGATCTGTTGCAGGATTGAGAACAGGACAGCAATGTTGCCGATACGCTTCAAGCAGGCACAGACAGATGAGGATTCGTGGCACATCGTCATCCCCGGTTCGACATCGTCTTTTGCGTGGGAGGATTTGAGGAAGCGGCAGGCTTTGGAAATAATGGTGGATGGCACAAAGCAATCTTTCATGGGTGTGTATGATATTGACAAGCCTGGCGTTTACACTCCAATGTCCTCCAGCAGGGTGGTGAGCGCATTGCGTCTTTGCATATTTGAGGAGTTGGGGGTCAAAGTCGTGCGGCTAGAAGACCTCAAGCCTGCTGACAGTGAGACAACGTCGATCATCCCTCGCGGATCTTTTCATCGTCCTTCAATGAGCGAGATCATGATTCCGACCACTTCTGCCCGCTTTGCTTATCCGGAGACTGGCCCCCAATCGCCTGAGGGGATAACTCCGTCAAATACAAATGCCAAGCGGACTATGACTGCAAAGAAGTTCAATATGGTAATCAAAATGGAGGACTTTGGCATTTCCATTATCAACGACAAATTGCAAGAGCTGCTCTACATATCGATGCAAACTGCAACACTGTCCTTCATGACAGGGCTAGGCGAGGGCATCAACAGGTAATAGTAGAAAATTACTAGAAATCTAGGCTACCAGAGTGGCCCAGGGTCACTTGCCCGGCCGGGCCAAAAACATTTAAAAATATATATATATTTTTTTTTTTTATTTGTTATTTTGCATTTGGTGAAGAATTTCGATGTGACCCTGAGGCAAAAGTTGTTCAGTTTATTTTTCTGCATAACATAATGTTTCTGATGTAAATGAGTTCAGATACATCCGAGAAAGTCGTAGGTGGTATGCCCTAACTTCTTTTGCTCTCTACTGGACACCCAAGTTAGGTGACACTCCATGTGCAGAGCAGAAGCAAAGAGAGACCTTGAAGGGGACGCTCTGCTGCAATACTCTGTTGCTTTATTGATCATTGGTACCATCTTCACCCAAATAGAACGCCCGGCCATGATCACTACACTGGAAGTTGCCCCAAATACAGCTATAATAAACTGGGCGGCATTAGCTCAGTTGGTTAGAGCAAAGGACTGAAAATCCTTGTGTCAGTGGTTCGAATCCACTTCTAAACAGGCAACATCAATCTCTTAAGAACTTGGTCAACTTGCCGAGTAAGTAGGCTAAGGACGGATTCGAACCATCATTCGTGGATTTGCAGTCCAATACATTACCTTTATGTTACTTAGCCTTTGATTTGATTGATGAAAAAAGAAAGGTGCTGCACTTTGTGCCTGGAGGCTCGCAAGAGTCAGTCAAGTACAAAATACAGGTAGGTTCTGCTCTATCGTGAAGGGTTGAAGAGAAAGCACTTGGTTGAAGCAAAGTTTGACCATGAGTGACATATAAAATTCACATGAAAGATGGTTGTGTGGTATTATGATGTCTAATGAAAAACAACAACAACAACAACAACAATAACAACAACAATAATGCGACGATGACAAGAACGACCGCAAAAGTGACTGACGTTTCTTTGTTTTCGTGTGATTGTTTCTGGCGCCCATCTTCCTTCAATAGAATAAAGTTCAAGCTCAGTCGCTTGCAGATCGATAACCAGCTTCCTGAGACCTCGAAGCCCGTTTTGTTGGCTCCATACTTTTATGGGAGAGGGAAGGAGGCCCCTTCTTCAAGGTCCGATATTGTTATGAAGTTCATCGTCACCAGGGTTGAAGACGAGAACAGCAAAGTGGAGGTGTATCCTCACATTGGCATCCAGGTGAGCTTCTGCATGTGTGCAGTGGTGTATACATGTGCATGTCCATGTCATATTCGCACTTCAAAAGACTTACGTGGATGCAGTCGATTGCGATTACCGTGAAATGCGGTCGAAAAGATCCTAGTAGTGTGAGTATACCCTGTGTGTGTCCATGTTTACAAGATGCAATGCCGGAAGAGAGAGGTACCGAGGGCACGCTCACACAGCGGTACCAAATCTGCATAATCCCCAAAATCCCGAAAAAATAGTGTCGAGGGATAGTCACACCAGGATCTCATTTCCCCAAACTACTATTTGTGATCCGATTTGTAAGCGGGCCGAGGGGCCGAGCGGGTTTGGAATTTGCAAATTCCCTTTCTTCTTCAAGTTTCTTGTTTGGAATCAACCTGCAGAAATGGAAAGAAATTGGAAGACGAAGATATTGCCAGGAAATGCGATCTAGCAGTGTGACTGGAGCAGTCGAAGAGTCGAAGAGGACCCAAAACTCAGGCGGCCACAATCTTGTCGGTTGCAAAATGGGGAAGCAGTGTGACCGGTCCAGCCACTATTTTGAATTTTCCCAAATCGGGCATCCCATTTTTTTAAGAAAATACGATTTTGGGTATGCAGTGTGAGCGTGCCATGAATCGAGGGGACAGCCCAGGGGATAGACAGTCGAATGTGAAGCACAAAAACAAAAGGGCAAAGATGTCCTCTATCACGCAAACAAGAATCCCGGAAAAAGCAAACAACAAGACAGACAAGCAATACGAGGCAGCAACACGAGGAGCAGCATTGGACGGTGAAGCAGCAGCAAGGAATGTAGGCTTGAGAGCATGGGGGAGAGGGCTGGGCAAACAAACAACACTACTGTCTTCACCCGAATAGAACCGCCCTGTCATTATCACCGCATCTGGTCTGGAAGTTGACCGGGCGTTTTATTCAGGCGAAGAAAAACTGCGGCACAGGAAAAGACAACGTGCCAAGCAACGGCATTGGAAGGTTAAGCAGCAGCAAAGAACGGAAGCTGGAGTGCACGAGGGAGGTGGGTGGGCAGACGAAACAGCACTAGGAAGCAAAGAACACGACTTTATGCCATGGGTTTTATGGCTGTGACAGATTAGTTTCTCAGACTTGCTGCTGTTCTTGTCAGGGGTTTGGGCCGACAGTCTGCTAGGACTGCAGGGTTGGTGTGTGTAAAGTCGACCACTGTTTTCTGTGTTATTGCTACCTGTCGGGGATGTGGTTAGCCCTTACTCGTCGGGATTAAACCTCCTGATGAGTTGGTGCAACTCCGACGAAACAATTTGTCATCAGTTTTTTTTTTTAGTTTTTTTTTTTTTCATATTTTAAATGAAAAATACAGTCTGTCTTCTCCTCATATGGGGGACAGCTGTATTTAGTTACTCTATTTTCTTTTATCAACGTCTTACCTTCCTTACTCTACCTCCTTTTTGCCTACCTGCTGATCTCAGCGTGCGACCTATCCACCCAAGGCAACCCAGCACCACAACCCGAGACCACCAGGCACCAGACACCCCAAGCGCAGATAGCAGGCCAAGAGACTATGGACGAGGGAAAGTAGCCAACAACCTACTCTATGCCTAATAATTGAAGATAAGAACCACTTTTTTTTTAAATGCCCTCACCTAAGCTACGCTGTCCTGCGGTTATGGGTCTATGTCTACCACCCTCTGTTCAGTACCCTCACCTAAGCTACGCTGTCCTGCGGTTATGGGTCTATGTCTACCACCCTCTGTTCAGTGCGGGGAGCAGTATGCAGGCTGCTAGCGCCTGCCGTAGGCCGGAACCACGTTCCCTAACCAGCCAGGAGGTCCAAAGCCGACAATCGCTGCTGGTGAAAACCGGAAGTATACCACCAGGAGGCCGTGGGAATTGAAAGTAGGACGTCAGGAATCGAACCTACGACCTCCTGAGTGCCACTTACGTGCTCAACCAACTGAGCTAGCCCGCTTGGACATTTTCGTTTTGTGTTTTTTCAACTTTTTTGCTATTTGTTCTTTTTGTCTGCCTTGCTGCATCTGTGTGTGTGTGTGTGTGTGTGTGTGTGTTACATGCTGTGCCTGCAACAGGCTGCATGGGCCCCTTTCAGGCCCGTGACGTTTTCAGGCCAAAAGCCTGAAAACAAGGGCCTACAGGCCCCGTGTCGTTTCAGCCTGAAAGCCTGAAAACAAGGGCCTACAGGCCCTGTGTCGTTTCAGGCTAAATCAGGGCCAGCCTGAAACTGAGGGCCATTTTCAAGCCCTCATCAGTTCAACCCGCCCTGAAACTCAGGCAACAAACCAGGGTTTTAGCACAGGCCGTTTCGGGCCTGTTTTCAAGACAACCCCTGGTTGAGCATAACGCCACGGTCTGGCACGTTTCGGCATTAGCAAGAGCAGCCTCCTGGACGGGACAGCACTATATAGGACTGGCCTGCCCTGCAGGCCAGCAGGTAGTTCCTAGGTACTTCCCAGGCACTTCACGTGCAGTTCAGGAGGCAGGAGGTAGTCTTCAGGATTCGGCGGAGCACTTTGGAGGAGCGCTGCAGTAGTAGTTGTAGCCCTAGCAGTAGTCTTCAGCGCTGGGTGCTAGTAGCGTTAGCAGTAGTCTTCAGCGCTGGGCGCCATAGGAGCTAGCGCAGTACTAGAGAGAGAGAGAGATTGGGCGGAGGCCAGGGAGTGCAGCGCCGTTGCTCCAGCTTCGTCTTCGAGGTACCTGCAGCACAGCGCCATCTTCACAGGTTAGTACCTGGCACGTGAAAGAGAGAGAGAGAGAGTTCTTCTTCTTCCTCTTCTCAGTCCACCATCTCCCTCTCACCCTCTCGCTACCTGACTTCAGTGCATCAGCAGACTACGAGAGAGAGAGAGAGAGCTTGGTGACATTTGGATCCAGACTCGGCATGGGCTTCAGACATTTTGACGAGGGATTATTTGGGACCTGTAACGAGACTTGGTGTTGACGACTTTCCCATCTCCCCCCTCCTCTTCTCAGTCCGATCCCCCTCCTCTTCGTCTGTGCATGTCTGGACCTGGCGCCTTCTTCCTGTGTGTAGCGCCAGGCCCCTTCACACCTTGTGATGGGAATGATGTATGTTTAGTCTGCATTGCGACATTGATTGGGCTCGTCATTAGTATTCTAGCATTCTGCTGCGCTATCTTGTACTACGTGAAAGAGGTCAGTCCCGGTCAGGTCAGGACTTGTATCTAAGTCTTCCACTGCGCTTAAAAAACACCATTTTTGTATGTATCAGGATGTACACTGCTTGTTGAGATTTCACTTGCACTGCATTGTCCATTCAGTCCTTTTCATCACATTGCGGATCCTTGGTTTATATGTACATCACCCAACTGGGCATGTAACAGTGTGTGTGCATGCACGCACACATATGAAGAACATACAGGTTGGTGTGTGTGTGTGTGCAGGACATTTCTGGATGCATTTCTTGATTTTGAAACACTCAAGAAACTTTGGCACTGCAGAACATGGCAGTAAAAGGGATCATTATTATTATTATATTATTGTAATTCTTTATTAACAAGGAGGTGGAGGTGTGAGGATCAAGAGGCCTAAATTTTGACATTTTCGGGGGGTTTGGGCGCCGGACAGTTACCGTGCGGCTGTTGGTTGAAGGGCCCAGCACGCTTGCAACCGTGACATCCTGAGCCTTCTCGGCTCTTCCGGGCACGCTGTGGAAGCAGGCCCTCTGGCCAATCAGGACACAGTGAGTGACATATGCCACGTCGCGCAGATGGGCGTGCCTTACTGTTTCGGTCCCAGGCCGCTATCTGAATTGGGCCTGGGCGCAGACACTTTGGCCCAACATAAAGCTACTGGGCACATACACGTGCGAGGGAGGCAGCCAGCGAGCGCAGCCACTTTCCATAAAGGAAAGTGCTGCGCAACTTGGGAGGCATTCGGGCACTTGGCGATTATGCGGCAGGGCTGCTACTTTGAGTGCTGAAGGCCGCATGGGTGCTGGGTGTTGAGGACGCGCATGGGCATAAGGAGGTCTTGGGCGCTGCACGAGAGCAGTGCCAGAGCCCAGCCATCCATAGCCGGGCTGGGGCGCGGAGAGGCTAGTGGAGGTGGTGGTGGTCTTCGAGACGGAGTGTGTGGGCAGAGTGCGAAGAGGGTCATACCTTTTTCGTTGGGGAGGTCTGCATGGGCGGCATCTGTCCATACTTTGTGTTTCACTGCTGAAGTCTTCTGGTTGCAGCACCTTAGTGTAGGGTAGTTTAGGAGCTGTGTGATCATTGTCGGGGCACCGAGCGCCAAGTAGGGAGAAGAGACATTTGACACATTGTTGATATCGGCAAAGTCAGGGCTGACGTTACAATCAAGTTCTCGTGCTTCGGTCTCCTTCGGTGTGATATTGGTGCATTTCTTTTTTTCTTTTTTTCTTTTTTTCTTTTTTTTTTTCTTTTTCTTTTTCTTTTAGTGGTTTTGCTTGGAATATGTTGTCTATGGGAGGTATCATGTATTTAGCTCATCTTGCACCTTTTCTCATTGTTTTCGCATTAACTGGGTTAGAGTTAGGTGTTGCTGTATTACAAGCTTATGTTTTTACTATTCTAATATGTATTTACCTAAATGACGCTTTAAATTTTCATTAACCACTTTCTCCCACTTCGTGGCCTCTGGTGACACAACCGCCGCGAAGCGTTCATCTTTCCCACCCACCGCAGGGTGGGGTGGTGTCAGCTCCATTCTTTTCTTGGCCAGGCAGCTTCCTTTAATTTGGACCATTTCTCAATTTATGTGTGTCATCCTTTCGGAGGGGTGATGCTAACCTTCTTTCTCTGCATCGTTCCAATTCTAACAGATGTCCCGAAGGACAATATTGGTGCATTACTGCTTTCTGGACCGTTCACGACTATCTGGCTTTCAAATTTCAATGTGATGTTGTAATTTGGAATTCTGTCATTCGCTTCTGCTCATTTTCCTTGCAGAGGAGATGCTGTTAAAAATATTGCAAAACATAATAAACTTGGAAGTTGGAACATATGTGGGAGTTGTGTGCTGTTTATTGTTTGAACTTCAATTGCTGTTTGAGTTTAGCTGTTTGAGAAAATTGCAAAACATAATAAAATTGGAACATATCTGGGAGTTGTGTGCTGTTTATTGTTTGAAGTTTGAACTTCAATTGCCGTTTGAGTTGAGCTGTTTGGGCAGTTTTTTTGCTGTTTCACAAGTGTTGTTGAGAAGTCTGAGGTTAATCATGCACTGTGTGTGTGGGTGGGTGGGTGAATGGGTGGGTGGGTGGGCGGTGTTTATGCAGTGTTTCTGCGACCAGTGGCTATTGAATATTCATGAGCCCATTTTGTGGAGGCTCCAGGACTACTACAATCAACTAGATTTCAGCCAGCTGTCCCTTCAAGATGAGTCGCAGACTGTCAGCGTTGATCCATACGTCAGGATCGGGTACTCTTCTCGCACCCTAGCGATCCTTTTTTCTGGACTCGAACTTGGGTCTGTATTTCAAGAGCTCATGGGCGTACCAACTGAGCTACCATCTTCACCCAAATAGAACGCCCGGTCATTATTGCAGTATCTGGACTGAAAGTTGCACCAAATACAGCTATAATGACCAGGCGTTCTATTCGGGTGAAGACGGTAGGCCCACCCGCCAGTAGCAATCTAGCGATCCTTGAGTTAAAGGACAGTGAAAGCAACTGTGGTTTCGTCTTTCTGCCGTCTCTTCTTGCTTTCGTCTTGCTCTTTCTGTCATCGGTTGGAGTCTTGATGGACTGCTGCGCCCCAGAATAGATGGGGATTGTGTGCTTGTGCATTTAAAAAAGAAAGAAAACAACTGTGGTTTCGACATTCTTTTTTTCGTTTTTTTCTTCTTTTTTTAAATCTTTTTTTTTTTTTTTTTTTTTTTCCCTT